TGCCTTTGGGTTGTTTTGTTTTTCTTGTGCGAGGTATCGCTTGAGGAGCTCCGATGGATCTATACGGCTATTCTTATGCCGGTAGCTCGTCTCGTGGACACCCCGACAACTACCATGAGGAGATGTATTTATATGGAGGGCCGCCATATCCGTATCCGAGCCCTTCTTACCCGCCATCTCAAGTTGATTTTAATTATTACTCTTCGGGTCACGACGAGGCGCCTCACTACTATCCACCACCTCCCGTTTATTTTGAAGAGACACCTCTACCCGAGCCGACTCGGGAATCTTCTCGAGTCAATCTAGTCGAGATTATGGAGCACTTAGAGGAGTGCAATCGATCTCTTCGCGCTTCAATGGCTCTCACATCCAAAAACGAAGAAACCGAGTCCCATGCTCTATCTTCTCCATCATTTGAGCACCCATCGGTTGGCCAACCTCGTTCATCTAGTCTTGGAGCTTCATTTCATTCCGAGGTAGAGCCGATCGATAGTCACCAAGAAGTTTTGACGCGTACTCAAGACGCACTCGCGAGCCTCGCTTCGATCATCGAGGAGTTTAATAGTTGGAGGTGCAGCCCGATTCCATCCGTTCTCCGTGCTACACTTGAGAAGTTCGACTCCACCGTGATGTCTTTTCTCGACTTGGATTCATCTTCTATTCCGCTCGGTAGATATTCTACTCTATAGGCGAAGATTATTCGAGAGAGCACTCGATTAGAGAGCGAATTTCGGGTTATGATGGATCGTTTTGCTTCCTTGAAAGAGAAGGGCCTCACTCCCGTGTATGATGGAACTCAACCTTTAGACATGAGTGAGGACATCGACGAGCTTATTGTCAAAGAACTTCCTCCTTGTGATGACGTGGACTTGCATTCTACACTAGGTACGTCAAAATCTTCTTCCGTTGATGGTGTTTCGGGTTTTGATTCGATTATTGAGGAGGAGAGTATGGATTCGGAAGTTGATGTTGAGGATGGATTGGGAGATAATTCAATTGAGGATTCGAGTGAGCCGAGGGGTAATGAAGGTGTTGGTGATGATGAGGAGGAGGATGATGATGGTAGTGAGGAGGAATCCGAGCATTTAGATGTTGTTGAGCCGGATGTGCCGTGTGTGGATGAGATGCCTTGGGATGTTGAGAATGAGGTGGTTCCCATGTCCCTTGGGTCGTCGTTTCGTGTTATTGAGGATCGTGATGATTTAGAGGAGTTTAGTGTGCCTACGCCCGTGCTCCCGATGCTTGAGCTTGATAAGTACACGTTCGAGATAGTGCAAACGATGCCCGGGAATGATTCAACGTGCTCCACAGATATATTCATATTTTCGGAGGTCGACTATGGGGCCGTGATGCGTAAAGATCTATCTCTTCTCTTGTTGGTTGTCGAAATCCGTGCTCGGTTTCACAAGAATGCGGCCACGAGAGCTTATCTTGCCCGCCTTTGTTCCGTGCTACCGGATCGACTTCTCTTGGAAAATATAAAGGCGTGGCATGATCGACATTTTTTCTTGGATCCCGGTTGATTTTCGTTGGGAA